ACTTGTAGTCCTGAAGAGAAATGGAAAAGAGAAGGATCAAAGAGCACACTGCGTCGAGAGTTAGAAGCAGACATGAGAAGGATGAAAAGCGACTGGAAAGTACTGGAAGGGATTGCCTAGGACAGTATTAGACGGAGGATGCTGGTGGTTGACCTCCATGAGGGGTAACGGGCGTAAGTAAGACAGTTTCGCATCCAGTTAACAGTCACTCAATGTAGTAGCACGTTAGATTATGCCCCGTCGCATCCCTACAAACCACATTTCATTAAATAGTTGATCATATCTTCATAAATATGTAAGTGAGAATTGTGAAGCAGACCGTAAGTTTATCAATAATTCGGCCGTTTTTAGTGTTCATTCTGTGAGGTGACCCCTGAGAAATTGCATATGGAAGACCATATGTACAGGTACTTTCTTTCTTGTTCTCATCTGGAATGTTAGCTCTACTCAAGTGACCACGTGTTACTAGATATTCTTTACTTATTTGATTATCCTCAACGTTTACCCGCGATACTTACACTTCTCTCTATTTATGTTGTTTTGGTTTTTGATTGATTCATTTGCGTGTTTAAAGAATTGTCTACTTATAATATTCTAATTATCGTATGAATTAGGAATTCCAGGATTAACGCAATTGAATTAAGAAGACACAGGCACAAACGAATGTATTGTATTTAGAATTCGAAATCAAACATTCAACCAGTACAAAGGTATCATTGGTTCATTCAAACACCACATCCGCCACAGCTTAAATTGGAGTATAGGTGTTTGTAATCAATCGTACGTCTTCTTCTCAAATTCATCCTGAGTCTGTCTGACATTGTATTGGATAAGGATTCTGTATTATCTAGAATATGCTCATTAGCATTAGAATTAACAATCGAAATTGGAACTGACTCACCTGGTTCCTGAAATTGTATTTGATCTACATGTCGACTGTGTGTACTTAAGTCATCGATGTCTAGAATTCGCACAATCGATTTTCCGACATTCTTCAGAACAATACCCGTAGTTGGTCGAAGATCATTTCCTCGATAGTATGTAACCTCTGCAGACTCCAGACATCTCATATTCGACCGAAGAATTCTTCCTTTCAATAGCTTCGCTGGAGTCTCCTTCGTCACCGAATGTTTGGCATTTCTATATTGCAATAGAAAGGTATCTACTCCCCTCTCCAGCTCATTAAATTTTGAGGGGGCTATAGAATCAATAGCAGTCTTTAATGTCCTAACAAAATTCTCTGCCTGACCATTAGAACACGGATGTCTGGGAGCAGTAAATAGATGTTTGCACCCTATACCGTTCAATCAGGTAGTGACTGCATCTGCAGCAAAATGTGAGCCATTATCAGTCACCAACACCAAGGGAACACCTTCTCGACTAAACACCTTTCTTAATGCTTGTATTGTGAAATCAGAATTTGGTGAAGTTGTGAAAAAAACTTCAGGACACTTTGAAAAAGAATCAATGACTACTAGTGCGTAGTATTTACCAAGAAATGGTCCACAATAGTCAGCATGAATCCTCTGCCAGGCCTCAGACGATACTGGCCATGGCACCCACTTCGAAGGATGATTTTTCAACTGATGACATTTCTCACAATTGTTTGCCGTACGACATATTTCTGCATTTATCTCTGGCCACTAGCATGTGAGCCTTGCCAAGGACTTCATTTTCTCAACACCTAAATGACCACTATGAAGATCTTCAAGAACAGATTTACGCAATGAAGGAGGAATGACAACACGATCGTTTAAACACAGAATACCATCAGGAGTAGTAGATAACTCATCCCGCTTTGAAAAATAGATAGGAAATCTCCGTTTCAAATTAGCATTCCAACCTTTCCTTATAGCACTGAGTATACATCCAAAATATCTACGAGTTTCTCTGATGAGATCTGAACGTCTCACTGGTAAAGGTTGCACTAACAAACAATCCGAAGTATTAATAGGTTTATCTTGTAATGACTGTCGAGAAATGTAATCAACATGTTGAATCTGTTTGGCACTTCTGTGCTGAACCGTATAGTCATATGCACTCAAAGCAATACTCCATCGTTGAACCATAGCTGCTGAGGAACGTGCTAAGGATTTTTCGGGATGATAAATAAACTTTAAAGCTTCATGATCAGTAACAATAGTGAATTTCTTTCCGAATAAATATTTATGAAGTCTTTTAACAGCCCAAAACACAGCTAACGCTTCTCGCTGAGTCTGTGAATAACCTTGTTCAGTAACAGTAAGTTTGCGTGAAACACAAATAACTGGTCTACCTTCCTGTTCCAAAACTGCACCAATTCCCACAGGTGATGCATCAGTAATAAGCACAGAATGTACATTAGGGGAGTACGTTCGAAGAACAGCATCACTTTGAAGAAACTTCAGCAGACTTCGTAAGCATGACTCTTGTTCCTCACTCCATTTGAATGAATTTGATGTTAAAATATTAAATAAACAATTTGCACGACAAAAAAAATAAGGAATAAAACGGGAATAGTATTGAAGAGCACCCACTAGTGAACGTAATTCTGTAAGATTTTTCGGAGACGGTGCATTAGTCAGTGGAGCTAGTCTTTTCATATTTGGTCTAAAACCATTACCATCAACTAGGTATCCAAGACATTCTAAACTAGATACACAAGGTGGACACCAGTTCGGATTTTCCGCAATATTCTTCTCAATTAAACGACGCAACGAAGCAATAAGTCTCTCGTCATGAACTACCTTATCAGAACCATGAACAATGAGATCATCTCGATAAACTTCAACACCTTCAAGATCACTAACTACTTTATTCATAACTTCCTGAAATATGGCTGGAGAACAACTTAGACCAAATGGAGTAAAGTTGTATTTGGATAGACCAAAAAGAGTGTTAATTGTCGTCAAAATAGATGAAGATTGATCTAAAGGTATTTGAAGATAAGCATCTTTTAGGTCAACTTTCGAGAACGCTTTACAACCAAGACGTCGATTTAAAATATCTTCAGCCTCTACTGACTTACACGTTTGCTTCAACAAACGGGAGTTCAATGTTAATCTATAGTCACCACATATTCTAGGGGTCTTTCCGTCCAACCTCAGTGGCGTAACAATAGGAGTACCTCATGCTGAAGACTGAATTGGTCCAACTATACCTTTCGCATAAAAATCGTTCAATGTCTTATGTACTGCTTCTCGAAGAACATAAGGAACTATTCTTCTTTTTAAAAAGACTGGATCGGTTTGTACTTGAAGTTTTATAGGCTGAATTTTCATACCTCCACTGCATTTAGCACACATAGCTATCAAATCTTTAGGTAAAGTATCAGAATTTTCTTTAGAAACTAAGAAGGACAACTCCACCTTAAGCCTTTTCAAATTCTTTAAACCCAATATTGACAGTCCTGTTTCGCTAACTAAAAATTCACAAGGTATGTATGAAGAATTATCATCTCTGATTAGCAATTCACAACATCCTCGTATGGGCAGTCTGTGTCCAGTAATCCCCAGTATTGATACTTCAGTGGATCGTACAACAACGTTAGGATCTAAAGCTTTCAAGTTCTTGAATGAAATAATGGACTCTATACTGCCTGTGTCCAGAATAAAGTCATGAAATGAACCAAGCGATGTATATAATCGCTTCTGAATATGAGCATTACCTTTCGAAATAGTGGACAAAGACAAATGATCACTAGAAACATCTGAATTATTGAAATTTAAATTACAAGATTTAGTACAGCTTGAAGCAAAATGGATAGTAGCTTTGCATACTGACTGAATGTGTCCTACCTTACCACATTTAAAACATTTAGCATTACGAAATACACATGAATTCCGAAAATGAAACTTTCCACATGATAAACATTCACCAAACTTCATCTCACTTTGAGATTTGCTTTGTAATTCCTCGTTGAAACACCTTTCATATTTACACGAGAATAGGAATCACTGTTAAATGAACGCAAGTTTGATTGACCCTGAGATTGTAGTTCATCACGACGACTAAGCAAAGTATTAGAAATGTTCATCGACTGGATATCAAGGTCATTGACTGCTTCGTAGTTAATACATGCAGTTCTAGCATCTTGAAAGGAACAGTTTGGCATTCTTAACAGCTCTCTTTCCAAACTCGGTATGTTAATTCCTGCAATTAATCGATCTCTCAATTGCACATGAAGCTGATCACCGAAGTTACACTTGGCAGCTTGTTTCTGTAATTCAAGGATGAATTCCCGAACCTTTTGGTCATTTTGACGAACCATCTTATGAAACTTCGCCCTTTCATGGCATTCAAAACTGGTGCATTTTACATGACTTAACAATAGCTCTTTAAGAGTTGCATAAGGCAGTGAGATAGGTTTTTCTGGATATGCCAAAGTTTTTAATAAGCTGTACGCTTCTCTTATGATGAATGTTGGGAAATATGCCACAATTTTATCACCTTTAACATCTTTCTAGGTCATGCTCCAAATTTCGAACCTTTCCAAATAATCCTCAATAGCTTCAGGAGTTGAATGAATATCCAACTTTTCCATTGCAGGTTCCATCACGACGCCAATATAATATTCTAATTATCGTATGAATTAGGAATTCCAGGATTAACGCAATTGAATTAAGAAGACACAGGCACAAACGAATGTATTGTATTTAGAATTCGAAATCAAACATTCAACCAGTACAAAGGTATCATTGGTTCATTCAAACATCACACTACTCCCGGCTATTCTGGATTATATTCTTCTATTAGTCGTTATACTGCAAGATCCAACTCCTTGCTTGGTAATGTGACAGCGGCTGGATTCAGAAACATTAGTATCCTGAAACTAGGCAATTGCTGAGACCATAAGACTCTCAAATACGCAAAGAACTACCAAACTAGAGCTAGTTAGATTGAGTCGCTGGACCACGGTTTTTTGGAAATAATCAAAGACCTGGAGCTGTATAACGAAAACTAGAGCAATGAGGTCAGTAGATTTATTCGACGGTATTGAAAGTTGATATCCTGGTGATTTTGATTTTCGTCCTTGACAGTCTTTTCAAAATCCCATCCATTGTTGCCAAGGTAGTTTCTCATTAATACAGTTACACTTCTCGATTCATCACATCAGTTAGTGTCATTATAGGTTTTTATAAATCTTCAGCGTTCAGGTCTGCAAACTGACGCTTATCAGGGTAATATTTTCGACATTTATTCTTCTACGATCTGTTAAGACACAGCATTCAAACAATAGCATGACCATATGCTAAACATATGTTCACAACAGTAGGGGTCCATCTAGAAACACGAGAAAATTAATTATGCGTATGGTATTGAAATAAACCCTGGAATCACAGGGAAAGAATAGTGTAAGAGGACCCATAATTGTTGTCGACGTTTAGGACCGTGAGGCTAATTCCGCGCGTTTAGTCTTGTGATGAAAAGCTCAATAAATCTCCCCTAAAGTAAATCGCTTTTGTCAGTTTGAGCTTCAGGGTCGTTTTGTAACTTCCAAACAACAATGGCATGAGAATTCGGATTGGTGAAACTATAATTTGTAGACAGATCGACCAGCTACAAAATCGTTTTGCTGAATTACCTTTTGCGATGTGAGACGCTAATATCAGATCACTTCAACCAGATGTCGACTCAAATCAGGCTGCTACTGAGTAGTGGGTAACTTAAGTGTAGCCTAGATCTACTTGGACTACCCATTATATTAATTTACTCATTGTTCTGGCTACGTCGTTTGGGGATTTCTAAAGACACCCTCTTTAACGTTTGACACCTTAATTTCAATTTATCTATTCATTGTTACACTTTAGTTGTACACAAATGGTAAAACATGCGATTTAATAAGTGAAATCGCTACTTAGGATTTATCAGTGGTTAAATTCGTATGGTTATCATGTCTGCTTTTTTATATTTTACCAGTCTACTGAAATGGACATTATTTCTAATGGACACCGGATTGTTTTACGGCCTGTACAATAATTGTAGAATTGTGAAAACTAATCGAACATTTTATTTTAAATATTAAGAACGTACCTACGGGAAACCTGATTACGGCAACCAAGGTAAGCGTGATTGTTGATATTAGTAAACGATTTTATTCAACCTTAGTTGACATGTATTATGTAACATGTTGTGGAATCTTTTTCGTGTGTGGATCTTTTTCGTTCTTAATTTCTGTGAATTAATTTTTCTGGGAACACTTTGTCCTTTATGAACTACAAGCATAATGTAGTCTACATAAAGCGCATTGTACATACTACTGCTCGGCGAGACTTAAAATTTCGGGATGTGTTTACCATGTTTTCACAGTTCAGTGTTCTTATTGGAGGTAATGTTAATCTGTCATTTTTATAGAAGGCCGATAACAGTCTAAAAACGATTTTATCTTAATATGCACTCAACTTCTTTTCGAACTAAAACATGTTAGCAGCTATAATTTATCAAAAATTTAAATTAAATACTCAGGTTATTAGCTCCTTGTTTGGATAAATGTTACCCACTGTCTTCCTGCCTACTGATAAAACACAACTGAAATATAAGGTGGTTGGGGTAGCCTGCCTTGCCTCAGGTTTCCTGCTAGTCGGCATTAATTAACACGTTATACTTGCGACTAGCACGAAACCCAAGTCAAGGGTTCCTTGTCACCTGAAATCGCAACATAGTGCACATGTTTTCGAGTCACAGACTAGTGATCACTTATCTTGATCTATAGATTTCAATCAGCAATAAAGAATAAAACAAACATGTCGTTGTTCACTACTCAGTGGTCAAGCGCTTGGAATATCATAGTACTATTTTTCTTCAGTCTTATTGTTTGAATGCAGTTGATCTTACTATCCTACTACTAACTAAACAAGTGGCTATTCAGTTCACTCTGTTACTCAATTGAAATCGATAAGAGAAAGAAAATGAAATAGAAGTTCAGAAAAAACTAATGTTTGTCCAAACTATATAACTACTCGAAATAAAAAATCGGTACAAATTCTGGTAGGTCAGTTATTCAGCCATGTGAATGCTTCACACCTTAGCACTTAAGTGTATCGAAACGTGTCATGTTTACTTCGACTATAAATCCCGGGTAGTATCATTAGTTGTCAAAGTGAGCGTGACTAATAATTCGGATAAATTCAGAAACCAAAGTCGTTTATGATTAAGGTGGATGTCATATTGTGTTTGTATAACTAAATTGTATAGGCGATAGTAGCTGTTGTAAAGTTTCTTTTCAAATTTGTATTTTCAGTGAAGTTATGGTTAGTACCTGTGGGTTAGCTAGAAAGGTTACGTTGTGGTTACTTCAGGTTTTTATCTGGAATCTAAAATAAGTAGTCACCATCAGTAACGTTGATTCATTCAACACATTTATTTTTGCACCGTATTCCCCTTGTTCATCCGTACTATTCTTTTTAGAGAGGACTTATGAAACTTAGGAATGAACAGAGTCGTGATGCTACTTGATATGGACTGTTTCTATGTTCAAGTTGAACAACGGGAATTTCCTGAAACTAAAGGGAAGCCGTGTGTTGTTTCACAGTATAGTGAGTGGAAAGGTGGAGGGTTGGTTCATTATTTTGATGATTTTTTATCTTTAGAGCTTTAGCCATAAGTTACGAAGCCAGGGCTCTAGGTATCAAGCGTGGGATGTTTAGTGATGAAATTCGAGTTCAGCATCCAGAAGTGATTATTTTCAAAGTTCCTGAGAAACGAGGTAAAGCAGAACTTACAAGGTCAGTAACTTAAATTCCATTTTGAGGTTGATTGTTTTCTGCAGATATCGGGATGCGAGTTCTGAAGTGATTCAGTGTATATCCGAATTTACTAGCGATATTGAGAGGGCTAGTATTGATGAGGCCTACGTTGACTTAACTGGTAAGCTGGTATTTTGATACTTATAAGCCTTCTAATAGGTATCGTAGATTCAGTTTTGGTCCAGGATGACAATTTGTCATCACTGCAGCCCAATCCAGAGTCTTACGTGTTAGTTAGTAGCGATATTGCTGAGGAGTCAAAGTTAGAACTTACCAAAACCAACTGTGTTTCGCTCAACGGTGTTGATTGGATCCAGTTGCTAGACTCTAATTTTGCAGAAGGAAGGCGATTAGCTGTAGCTTCTGAATTGGTATACCGCATTAGACAGGCTGTATTTACAAAAACAGGATTTAGATGTTCCGCTGGGATTGGTCCAAATAAAGTAAGCTGTTTCTGTGCTCTACCTCGTTTATTGTAGATAGTAAACAATTTGAAATTCATAGTATTTACTGAGCTGTGTTTTCGTACCCATCTTCGAGTTTTTTGTTGTTCGAAATAATATGATGTATATTAGGATTCAATCAAAGCAGTGCTCCTTCAACGTAACTTATTGTAAACTACTGTATTTGCTTTTGCCAGTCATTAGGCTGTCAGTTCAAACTCTGCTATATCTACTTTGCTTTCGGTGGTGTTTGCACAATTAGGGCAAATCGCCGTTTATAAATCCACCTTGTACTTGGCTACTCAGTAGCGCTGTGGCATATGCTACTCATACATGTGGCAACAATAGGAGGCGGAATGTTTGCCAGCATAAAATTGAGTTAAGGAGAACAAGAAGGAAAACAAAGAGTAATTGGAGTAACGACAGAACTGGAAGCTGTGCAAATAATGCATTTAATGTATGGTTTTCTTATTTTATTTATTTATTGTGTAATTTCGCATAAAACGATCAATTGGTTTTCCTTACTGTATCTGAGTTTTCGTTTATCACAGCACTACCTTGACCGTTCATTCCTAGTTATAATTATAATTTAAAGCAGCTAGAAGCAGTCAGTAGTGACTTCTTGACACTAGCTGGTACTTTAGAAAGGCGTGTTTATAACCTTTGGAGAACCTCAGCTAACCTACTGACCTTAGGTGTTTACTGTAATTAACCGTTTGTTAACGACCTACTTCGTGCTTATCTATTCCCTATTGTTGATCGAATTCTACTGATCATTTTGCAGTGCGGCTAAAATTCCGATTTTTAATTATCGAACTCCGTTGTTGTCTTTTAATCTGGTTGTTTGGCAAAGCGGTCGTTATTGCGATCTCATTGCTTAGAAATATATTTCTCTTCTGTCAAATACGAAAATGTTACTTTCGGACTGGTATGCGTCAACATCTAAACTAGTGATCGGGAGTGGACTAGTTAGATATGCCAACCGCTCCACTTATCTTGAAGATCTCATCTGCTCTGGTGGGTCGGTGTTTGACGAAATTTCGGCACGGACTCAGAAACTACGATTTCTGTTAGCCAGCTTGCATCACTTTTAGCATAAGCGAGATGACCGTCTGCCAATCCAAAAGACATATGTACTGTGCAGCTGTCCTGTTATATTTTTTGGCTGAGAGATGATCTATTAAAGTAGGAGACACGATAGGTTTAAGGTTTTTGACCATAGGTATCTTCACAGAATTTCTCTCGTTTCTTGGGATGATCGATTGGGCAACGTTGTGGTTAAGAATAGAATGGGGTATGGCAACTTGGACCGATGCATATATGTGCCTGGTCCTACTTTGGAGCTGATTGACTGACTGGTTAGGAATATGTTACTTAGTAAAGGTGGAAAATCTGTTGATGAGGTAGTGAATCTTCATCGACCTGAGATGCTGTTATTTACTACTCAGTATAATAACTTGGCAATGTGACAGATGTTTTAATCGATTTAATGAAATTGATCACTTTAATGGCAGAGATAAAATGAAATCTTTGGGTTGTTTCTAAATCACCTGAATAATATGTTTCTCCATTACTAAATTTAGAATTCACAGTTCCAATGTAAAATTTCGTCATTGTGTATTTAACAAATATAATATTTTCATTGAGAATATGAAAGTAAACAAATTTAGTAGTATTCATGCAGTAAGTGTCTATACTTTTCGTTATTGGACTTGCGAAAATTCATCAGCGACAATCATGGTTGAAGTTATTAATGTAGAATTTAACTAAGTATTGTACTGCTTTCAGGTTTTCGATTTAGATTATTGGTAGTCAGTTCATGATTTTAATGAAACATTGTATTAGTTTGATTTGTATACCCATACCGAAAGAGAGAGAGAGAGTAAATATAACTCCTCTCAACCTCAGTTCTATCTACTCGTTAACTGTCAGACTTAGATTCCTTTATTACTATTGCTTTCCTTTTTCACGTTTGGTAAAGTCTATCGCTAAATTGGCATGCAGTCTAAATAAACCAAATAAACAAACAATTATTCCGCATGAATCAATTCCCATTTTATTGGAAAATACTCATATAAGTAAAATGTAAGTGATATGTGTTTACTGATTATTTTGAGTAAATTATTTATTACTATATTATCTAATCAAATAAAACACAAATAATTAGTTAATATTATTGAATTCAGTTGTCAAGTACAAGTTCCTTTTATCAGTTATAAGTCGTTATACTGTTAATGTGATGACCATTGATACTGATTGAATGATGAAACCAAAATAGATGGAGTGTTGTTTGTATTTTGAGACAAGATTGTTAGATTGAGATTAGCAGTAACGTTTTCAGTGTTAAATAAAAGTATGTTATATCCAGCACTTTTAGTCATTTTTCTGTTCACTTAGCGGGTGAATGCTGCATATTGAAGTGTAATTTTGAAGCTTTTAAAGATATCCGCAACTATCAACTATGAACTACTAGTATGGTATGTTATATCTAAGAACCAATCAACATCGAGGTGCACAGAACAAGCTTTGAAACACATATGGAGAAATTCAAACACTTCACTCCTATTTGAAGTTTGTGCTGATGATGTCGTTCAGAAGAACGATGAAAGCTCCACGACCAAACCATCCAGCTCAGAAAACAAAACTCTACCAAAGTAAATCCTACTACCGCAACAGGAAAACTGCGAATCGGACGATATGAAAAAGAACACGGAGATGATGGTCGATAGGGATTCATTTGACACCAAAAATAAATCGAATAAGATCGGAAAATTCGAATTTTCATATGATTATGCAGTATTTAACATCAATTAACTAGTAACTTAATGTGAACGTAAATCCACGATACTATACAACCAGGAGATATGAATAATTTTTTAAGTTGTGTACATGACGTGTCACAGACATTTGAAAAATCGATTTTATGTTACTCTCACTTCAGTCATTTAAATCCTTGCTCACTATATCATATCTTAACTCAATATACTTAATGAAAAACTCAGATATAGTGGAAATCAGGGCTTCAAATGAAATCTTTGAAAATTACTCTTAAATAATGAATGATGAATTACTAAATGAACGGGGAGATGGTCGAATGCGGTGAATACAACGCTTATTTTACAGTGAAAGGGCTGTGGTTAACATCATCCATTGGTTAAACACAGTGTTTAAATTGCTGAACTGGTACTTCATTTTCTTGATATTCTAGTTTATAAGTATTTTCATTAATATGATTCAATCTTAAAGCTGTTAGTGTATAATTATCAATTTTTTGGATAGCTATCAGCTTATTTGAAATCGGGATCATACATAACCAACAGTTTATTGTGTCTATGATGTATATAAAAGTAGAGCTGAAGTGTCTTCATGGACTATTTGTTGACATGAATTTCTTATCAGTGAATATAGAAATGCTAGGTGATTTTTTTTAGTTCAAGATTTCCCTATAACAGTACTTTCTGGCTGGAATAATCAAAGTATGTCGATTAAAATTTTATTTCCGTGAAATTTTATTTCCTCATATTACTACAGATAACTTCGTGTTCATCAAATCTTACATGAGTATCCCATATTAATATTCTCATTTGATATATGTATCTAACTGAACAAAATAGTGTAACAGTGTTTTAGGCGAAATGCGTAGTTTTAAACATTCATGATTTCTCATGAATTAATTCTTAGCAAATTACCATTAAAATATTAGTAAGTTAAGATATGTTAATGACATAAGTTGTTGATTTATTTATATTACATTACTTTTATCATCATCATCGTCACTAATTTAATTCCAAGTGACTCACTGAATGACACTCAAAGGTGAACAAAGCACTTGTTCAGTATTGTATTTTGTTTCAGGCTCTTGTAGTTGATATCTATTTTCAGTCAAAAACTGTTTTCAAGTTAATTTACTCTGATATTATATAATTTAATCGCTTATGTGATACTAAAGTGATTTTAAAAAATTTATTAGTTGATTAGTATCATATTTGATTTTTCTTCTAAAGACGTAATTTAGGTGGTAAACTTGGAAGTGCTGTTGTTAAACAATTAAAGATTGAGACACTTGGTCAGCTAAGTTCAATTCCATTGTCTGTGCTCACAAAAGAATTTGGTGAAAAAACATCGTAAGTTTTGTTAGACTACTTCATTAAATGTTTACATATTTTTTTCGACTAAATTTCGAAATTATGTTTATTTATTAAAAAATTTTTTAGATTTATCAACTCACTGTCTTAAATCAAAAAGTAGAGCTAACAGTTAGCCGTATGATCATTTATGAATGTGTTGAGTGTTTTAATAAAATAAAACGTAACTTAGCAGTACCATAAAATTGGAGTTAAAAGAATATATATTTGGATCGTATTCTTACAACTTGTTCATGTTCTATCATTATCCTGATGACTAGTGAAAAATATAAAAACTGCAACTTAAATCTTTATTGTACAGTATGTATATAAGCCATTAATGCAATCGATAGTTAGTTTATTTGCTTGAACGCAATGTGGTACAATTGTCACTCATAGCTGATGGTATCCGATCAACGGATATTAAGTATCTTGCATAGATAGTTGCTTATGACGTTCTCATTGAAGTTTCTGACTTTGACGTTGACCGATAATTGTTTTGAGTTCCACATGTTCTTCAATTATAAGAATCTTGCCCTTGCTTTGCAATCCTTGACTCCATGTCTGCATCAGATTCTCCTTGTTTATCGATGATGCTGACAAGAAACTTAGACGTTTTCACCTAATCCAGAGCTTCATCGTCAAGTGTGATTGAATTGGTGTTCTTTGTGTTGTATTTGAGGATATTGCTTTTTCCCTTGTGTATGTTGAGGACTACTGATGCAGAGGCTGCTGCTGCTACAGTGGTTGTCTTGACCTGCATTTGTTGGTGTGTGTGTGTGTGGGATAGAAGAACTAAATCATCTATGAATTTAAAGTTGTTTAATTGCATCCAATATGTCTATTGTATTCCATGCTTCCCCCTGAGACGTGAAGATCTTCATAATCCAGTCAACCACTAGAATAAAGGTGAAGGATGGAGAGTAGACAGCCTTGTCTGACTCCGGTCATCACTTTGAATGTGTCTGTCAGCTGTCCTCCATGCACGACTTTGCAGTTTAGTCCGTTGTATGAATTCCGGCTGATGTTGACTATTTTCTCGGGTACCCCATAATATTGAGGAAGGTTCCATAATGTTCTCCTATGCACACTTTCAAATGCTTTCTCATATTCAAGGAAGTTGATGTATAGTGACGAGTTCCACTCAATTGATTGTTCATTGATGATGCGTATTGTAGCTATTCGCTCTATGCACGACCGATCGTTACGGAATCCAACCTGTTGATCTGTTGGTCGTCTGTCTACTAAATCTTTCATCCTGTTTGGCAACACTTTTTTGAAAACTCCCCACGGCACCAATATTTGTGTAATGCCTCTGTAGTTCTCACACTTGCTGCCATCTTTCCTTGATATATTGATGAGGTGTCCTTCTTTCGAATCCATTGGAACTTGTTCTTCCTCCTAAATCTTTCTGAATAGATTATAGATAACTAAGTTTAAAAATTTCTAATCCTGAGTTATCCAGTACGTTACTAACACTTCATAGTCAACTAATTGGTGGGTCCTTTAAACAATTCTATAAGAAATAATTTACAAGCATATAACAAATTGTTTGGTAACATTTAAACGTTGTCTAAATGGTACTAAAACGCTATGCTACGTAAATCCTGGGAATTATTCTAGAATTAACTCTATTTCAGTCAATAACATAGATGATAAAGGTAAAATAATGAGAATGGTAAGAAGACAAAATTAACCATAATAAAGTGGGTTAAAACGTCTGGTGTGTATATTAGTGTTTAGGAAAAATCATCGCATTACAGTATACTATTTTGTTTTCTTGCTTAGTTATTATATCGCATTTTAATAGATATTATTTGATGAGGTTGTAATTTTACCTAAGTAAACTCATTTTGATTGGTTGTTTGGATCTTCCCATCGGTGTCTAGAACCTCAATTCATCAGTCTCTAGATATCGATGGGACGATTCAAACAACTAGTAAATTGAACTTCACCCTACTGCACAAGATAGCGGCTATCTGTATTCAGTAGCGAAGTGTATAACATGATTGTGTTTGAAACGGACTGTACTTGGTTCGAGTCCCGCAGTAAACATCAACTCAGATACTAGTACATCTAGCCGATGAGTTCCAAATAGGACAAAACGTGCGTCCTGGTTTCCACTGCTAGCCTTCATGCATCTCTGCTTATAATACTTTATTGAACGTTTAGAAGAAATAATTCTCGTATCATGGCACATAACTAAGCAATTCGTTGATTTTAGTTTCATTTACGATATTAATTTTTCATTTCGTAGAAAATGGCTTCATGACTTATCTCATGGGATTGATCATGAAGTAGTTACTACTCGATCACTTCCAAAGTCTGTTGGTTGTAGTAAAAATTTCCTTGGACGTGCAACACTTACATCAAGTGAACAAATTAAACGATGGTTATTGTGCTTAGCTGAAGAAATATTTGAAAGATTAGATGTTGATTATCATCAACATCAACGTTATCCTACTCGATTAATTCTTTATGCACGTACAACCAATGATCCAGGATACATTGGTGGGATATCACGTACACTTCCGTCTAATCTTTTACAATTCATTGGTTATGGAAATCGAAGTATCATGAATAATGATGATGGAAATTGTAGTAATACTAGTGATTTAGATAACAAATTACTTAAGTATACAAGTCAAATTGAAAAACTTGCAAATACTGCTTTGGTCATTTTGAAGGAAGTCCTTTTTAAAGGGGAAGCTCCGGAAATATGGTGAGTTCTATTTTCACTTTAAAATTTGCGATGAATTAAAATTAGATTTTTAATGTAATTCATCATTATTACCATATTCTAATAACTTTACGTAACAGTTTTGGATGCACGTAAACAGTTTCTTGTAGTCTGTTTGTTAGATAAGCACTTTAGAATAATCATTTGGGCAGAATCATCAACAATACGTTTTTGATGAATAAAGTACTGTATAACAATCGTGTGAAAGCTGTACGATTTCACTCCCATAATATCATGCTAATGACATAAAAAATGAAATATTAGGATTACTAGTTAAGTTTAATTGATACCAGATGAAGGCAGCACAAGTTCATGAAATTATTGAGCATTATTTATTTATTTATTTTATCACATAAATATTGGTACAAGAGGGCACCAAATATATAAGTGCCACGCAAAACAATGAGAATGGGAAGAAAAAAATAGAAGGTAAGTAGCGTAGGAGAAAAAAAAGAACAATAACGACCAACTTAGTGTAAGTTAGTGTAATAATAATAATGAGGGAAACGGAAAGATAGAACCAGAAGAAATCTTTCAGTTAAGGAAGTTACAACCACTTTTTATGAAGGTAAAAAAAGGATACAGCAGGATTGCCACTGGCTTATATTCTGAGCCATATCTGATAATGTCTCTAGCCACTGTGTAGCACCATCTCTCGGACCCCAACCAGGGAGTCATGAAGGACCAACAGAAGCCAGTCCTTTGCAGCTTTCTTCCGTACCACGACACCATGTCATATACTGACCACCTCTCAGCTTTTTCCAACCAGTCCCAGCGTCGGCAAATAATGCATGACGTGGAATTCTCTGGGACGACATTCGTAGGACATGTCCAAGCCACCGAAGTCGATGTTTCAAGATGGTGAAACTGATTGGATTATCATCTCTGCGCCCGAACACACGATGCCGAACCTCTGCATTACTAACATGGTGTTGCCACTGGATGTCAGCAATCTTTTCGGAGACAACGATGATCAAACACAGAGTCGTCTAACATCCTCAACTCCGAGAGGCGAGGTTTCAGAAGCATAGAGCAAAACTGCTCTTACCGACGAGTTGTAGATCCGACCTATTACAGCCAGACTGACATCACGAAGGCACCAAAGGTGGCCCAGATTGGCATAAGCCGCTATGGCTTTCACTATACGTGCATTGATTTCATCACTCACAACCCCACCAGCACTTATGCAGCTACTTAGATACACGAACTTCTCGACTATTTCTATCTGCTCATCGTCCAGGGTAAGTACAGGATTAGGATCCTATCATTCTTGTAGAAGTACTTTGCACTTAGAAGGTGCAAAGCACATACCATACCTACGGACACTGATTACCAACTGATTAATTGCGGATTGCATGCCTTGGGCATTATCGCACAGTAAGACAATATCGTCCGCATACTCAAGGTCGAGAAGTCTTTCTCCAGGCAACAGATCCACACCACCATTACTTACATTCATCAGAGCTGTTTCCAGAATGTCATCGATGGCAAAGTTGAAGAGCAATGGTGAGATTGGGTAACACTGCCTAACCCCATTGATCGAATGGAACAATGGGGAGAGGTGATTGTATGCCCTCACTCTCCCTGAGGTGTTTGTATATAGGGCCTTTAAGATGTTAATAAACTTCTCAGGCACACCCTTCTTCAATAGAGACAATCCCAGAGAACAGTCCTGTCCAACGAATCGAAGGCAGCCCTGATGTCAAGAAACACTACGATTGTTGGCCTTTGATAAGTATGGCGGTGCTCTAACATTTGGTGGAGGGTGAAGATATGATCAATACATCCTCGACCAGAACGAAACCCAGCCTGCTCCTCGCGAGTCAATGTTTCTCAGGTTTTGAACAACCTACGAAGTATGACGGAAGCCAATAGCTTGGACGCAATCGGAAGTAGACTTATCCCCTGATAGTTGTTACAGGAACGACGTGAACCTCTTTTAAAGATAGGGACAACTATCTACTCATTCCATGACGTTGGTACACTCTCGAGCTCCCAGACCTTTGTAAACAACGTCGTCAGTCCCTTAGTCAGAAGGTCACCACCATCTTTAAAAAGAGCCGGAGGTAAGTCATCTGGGCCCGGTGATTTGTAGCGTTTCAAGAGTTGGAGTTCCTTGCGGACTTACGCCTCATTTGGTGGATCAGTTATCACCGGCCATGGAGGGCAGGACAGTTTGACCGATGTTGCCGGAGCAGCAGGCCAGTTGAACCACCCTTCGAAAAATTCTGCCCATCGTCCAAGGCATCGATGGATGTTAGTGATTGGCATTCCATCATCCGCGCAGATTGTCTCGCTCACACCAGACTTCTTGCTGCCAGTAGCTCGGATGAGTTGGAAGAGCTTCCGGTAATTATCAGATGCAGCTGCTGCTTCCAGCTCATTAGCACGCTTCGACCACCAGGCTTCTCGGTCCTTACGCAAGCTTTGCCCAATTTCCTTACGTAACATCCTTCGTTTATGGTCAAACTCACGGTCACCCGGAGTAGACCGACGAGCTTCAATGAGTTGTAAGGAACCTGGAGAAACCCAGTGCTTAAAAGCGGGACGTTTCGCAAACCCACAACTGACTGTTCCCGCCATTTTCATGGCGTCATGCAATTGCAACCAATGCTCATCTATACTTTTCGGTGGAGTGGTAGCTAGCCTAGAGGCTAGCTCGGTTCGATACTTACTAGCAACAGAAGTTGCAACCAGCTTGCTAATATCAATCCGTTGATGGCGGTCACTTCGTTGTCCACTGAAAAGTAAGGCAAGATTGGCGCAGACCAAGGCATGGTCAGAGTCCAGATAGGTACTCCAAAAGGAGCGGCAGTCTTGTACACAACCACGCCAGCGGTAGCTGATCGCGATGTGATCAATCTGAGTCCAGGCTTGAGATGCAGAGGGAGGACGCCAGGTGGCACATCGGCGATGACTGTGCCGAAAGTTAGTACTAGCCAGAAACAGGTTGTGGTCTGTGCACAGTTGCAGTAGACGGTCCCCGTTATCTGACCTGTGATCAACGAATCCCCATCGGCCACCTAAACGACTCTCTTCTGTGCCTAGATGCCCGACCTGAGCATTCAAGTCTCCGGCTAGTACTACAATATCTGTCGAACGCATTTTCTAGAGAGGAACAGATAACTGGTGGTAAAACTCATCCTTGATTGCATCCGGGCTGCAATCTGTCAGGGCATAGGCGGAAATGATGAAAAGATATCGTTTCTCACGGCGATTTCTTCTCACTTTGATGGAACTTTCTAATCTAACAGCACATAACCGACTGTTAATGGGGATCCAATCGATTAGTGCTACCTCAGCTCTAGCGCTTAGTGCGACACCAACGCCAGCAAGACTAGACGAAGATGTCACAAAATCCCCGGATAAACACACGTAAAACAAGCTTTTTGAAGTGACAGATGAAGAGCGAATTTGTAGTACTTCACCAGAGTCTTGAATACGGGTTTCGGATAGACAACAAACGTCGATACTAAGACTTTCCAAAGACATAGCCATCTTTATCTGTTGTCCAACCTGCATAAGTGTACGAACGCTGAAGGCAGCCAGTTTGGACGGTGTACCTAGTTTCAGATCAACTGCTTTAGTATTCATAGTTGGTGGTAGCATACAATTTTCAACCAGGCGGTGACTCGAGAACGTTTAGATACAACCGAGTTTCCACTATAGGCGAGCTGCTGTATAAGTCGAAAAATAAGAATACATAAAGTGGGAATAAAGAGGGTGAATAAATGACGTAGTAAATAATAATAATAATATTAATGTTAATAATAATAATGTGAATTGTTTGACTGTAAATCGAAGCGAGAATAGAGTTTTGAGTAAATACCATCATTTTCATTATCACTATATTTGTGTGTGGTTAGCAGCAGCCTCAACAGCAGTAGGTCTCAATATAAACAAAGGGAAAAGCAAGATTCTCCGATACAACACAGCATGCACCAATCCAGTCACAATTGACGGAGAAGATTTGGAAGATGTAAAAACCTTTACATATTTGGGCAGCATCATTGATGAACATGGTGGGTCTGATGCAGATGCTTTTCATTCTCGTCCAACTACTAATATTTTATGTCAATACATAATTTCCCTTTTTGCTTTTATACATTATTTTAAACTGTATATTCATTCTGTATACGTAGCATTCATTGTTAATTGATTAATTTTCATATTGTTGACTTCTTATCACTTTGATCATGTTCAGTGGTATAGGAGTAGGTTGGAAGAAAGTTAGGGGCGGCCAGACCAAAACATGGCACAAGTCCATGAAGTCACTGACAAGTAGACTGAGTCATATTGGTAGGTGTAGACTACCTGGTTGGGGACCGCGAGATGATAGCAACCTATGGTTAGAGACCCTGAATGACATGGCTCAAAATCGTTTGCAATGGCGCAGGTGCATCCACTCTTTGTGTTCTCCCAAATTCTAATCTTCTGAATTCTTCATTTCCCTTTCCTTTTTATCTTTCCAAATTTATTTCACTGGATTATACTCCTTGGATAACATCTTCAAACCCTAATTTTTCTGACTACACATAATTTTACTACATCTAGCACTACGGGATTTGAATCGACCACTGCATCTCTGTGCTAATGTGATGTGGCAACTCGAACTGATGTACGTACTTACGAGGGTCTACGTTGTTGCTGACTGACTGACTGATATTGAATTATGGTAAATTTGTGCCAGGCTGTGGTTTGATTCCTTATTAATTCATACATCCTAATTTTCTTTACTATCAAACTGCTGTTTTCGTTAAGTTAATTTGCTATCTGCATTGGTTATTGTTTGTGAATGTTTCAATGAGGTAGAAGCAATCATTGGAATGAAATACTTTTTATTAATGTTCCTTTATTTCATGGAGGCTTTTTTATTAATTTCTTAGTATAAACTATTAACCTTCGTTCTGACATACATCTTATTTTAACAAGAATAACATAGATTCCTATTTACAGCTGGACTAATATGAACTATTCATACATTTGATTTCTTGGAAATAATATCCAATGTGGTACTGTATTTATTGACTACTTGATACAATTAATTATTTTACAGTTATTGTTAGTTTATTCAACTGTTACCCAAGTTTTTCAAATTATATATTACGAGCATGAATCATGTAGAATAGCTTTGATCTCGTTCATGTCAAAGCAAATTGATAAACCTAATGTGTGATAGGTTAATGTATTTAGGTTATTATCATAGATTTCAAAACGTATTAATATTACTAACTTCTTTATATTTATCATAAGCATTCGTATTTAGTCATTATCCCCAGCTGCTAAACTAGGCAGGAAGTAAACGATTAAAATAAAACGAGGGACTTATTTTTGGTTGAAATATAGTCTTCTCAATGATCTTTGAATCATTTGAGTAACATACCATCTTAACAGTTACTTCGAAGTCCAATGATCAAGTGACACTATTTGGAGGTTTTAAAAAACATTGCCTTAGTATTCTGGTTTTTAAACAGAATACAATTGAGTTCTTATATATGGTTGTCAGTCTTAAACTTTTTTGTCAATAGTACCTGTGTGATTTAATGTCATAATGATACATCAGTATGAATAACTATGTTAATCAGTCTCCTTTATACCTGTTGAATAAGTTTGTGGTTATCGTAACCTATCTGCTCAGTGTATGTCTTTGTAGTTTGAAAGGGTAGGTATTGGGTTCGAGTTTCAGTGTGTAGAGCTCTGGGATGTAGGTACACTAAGTTGATACGTCCCAGTTAGAAGAGAACGCACGCATCCTGGATTTCACTGCCAATGATAATCTCATAATATTCACATCATAAGTCGATTATATGTACTGGGTAACTTCCTAGCATATTTTTACGAAATAGTTTATTGTAGTCATTGATTTTTACTAACACTGGTTATTATGAAATTTATTTTTCTGTTTAGGGATCCTGGTATAAATTCTTTAGGTCTTTCAGCTGGGAAATTCTTATCTAATTCCTCTACTTCAAATGTTGATATTCGATCTTTATTACAAAAAAAACAAATAGAATCTATAAAATATGATACTGTTGTTCAGCAAGAATCAATGGTATCTATTCCACCTGAAAAGTCTATATCACCATCTTTAGTTAAATTGTCTTCTGATAATGATGTTAAAAATGATACAGTCAACATTTCACCTGATAGAAAACGTAATTCTAATGATTCTACTGTAAATATTAACACAAATAATCTTTCATTTTTTAAACGTTTGAGAGTCGCTGAAATCTCAGCTCCATTTCATCCAACTCCATTGATTGACAATCTCAATATTAATAATAATACTACTACTACTAATGATAATAATACAAGTGAGAATAAGAATTTTTTATTAGTAGAAAATCAAAGTGGAAAACTCATTTCCAATTCAATAACACCACCACCAACAGCAACAACCAATGTACAATTGCATCAATCATTAGAACAGAATAAATCATCCACACTAGACGATTCACCTTATTTAGAAGTTGACTCAGAATCACGTCATTCAACATCAACAACTTCAGATTCGTCTAATTTTTTCAAATCATATTCAATTGGTGATTGGATTATTTGTGATAAATGTAATTCACGTATATCTGTATGGCAATTACCAGAACATGAAGATTTTCATATAGCTCAACGTATACAACATGAATGGTCAAATAAAGAAGTTAATATAAATACAACATCAATAGAGACATCATTAACAAAATCTAATGATACTACTAATTCAAATCAAGTAAATAATTCATTAATAAATAAAATATCTCACAATCAAAAATCAACTAAAATCAAATCTAATTTAAAACAATCAAAATCAATAAAAAAACATCAAAAATCAATTAAATCTAATTCTGGAAGTTTAGATCAATATTTTCATAAAATCCCTTAAATATATATATATATATATATATATATATATATATATATATATATATATATATATATATATATATATATATATTAATGATATAAATATGTATTGTATGCTTTTTAAATGTTCAATGGATTTTCAATTATCAATATTGTTAATTCTATTAATTTTTTTGTTTGTTTTACTATTGTACTTTTCTGATATTTTCGTTTAAGGGAGATATTATGATTTAATGTTGTTTCTTTCCATATTGTATTTTTTCTTAGAATAATAATTTTTTTCTTCAGTATTCTTTTTTTACTGATGAATGTTTCAAGTCTTTTCTAAGTTAAAAAAAGATTGTACTATGTATTTATTGAAACAAAACTTATGCTTTTTAGATTTTTTTTTCAATGGTTAAGACCATGAGTCAGTTGAAGGTTGACCATCATGGAAAACCCGGAAGGACTGAACGACCGTTTCGTCCTATTGTGGGACTCCTCAGCAGTGCTCATCCACGACCTCGCCCCCTGCGAGATTCGAACCCAGGGCCTACTAGTTTGTTTTGATTCATTTAAGCACTTCGAATTATGTTGCTCATTTGTTTATAGGCGCTGAAAATACTTGATTCAATAAGTATTTTATTTAGATATGTATTAATACAAATAATCTAGTTAGAGGGAGATAATGGGAATGTAACTGTATTTGTAGTATACATTATCAACTAACTTCAGCAAGACAATTATTTCAAATCAAGAAGCATAGGATAGCTGCTTAATTCTTACATGAAATTCCTTGAAAGTATCGCAATACGACTGGAACTAGTGAATTCTCATTGATGAATAGTAGTAATAAAGTGTCACACACTGAAAGGAAAATATTGGATAGCACTACTAGTTCTTAGTTCTACAGTTGACATCGGTTTTTATTGAAAATGACCTTTAAGTATATAGTTGTTATGTCCTTGATCTGTCTGCCCACGTTTGGTGCTGAGGCTACTTGTCTAACCTAGATTAAGACCTTGACGCGATAGACTGACTGGCTTAACCTTGAAGCTAGTATGCGTGAGTTCGAAGTGGGGTAGAGAGAAGAAAACTATTCTGTCACCTGATTAGCTGACAAGCACGCGAGTGCGAGAAGACAAGTCATCTGGAACATTACTCGATGTATTCCCGATTCCAATCTGGTTCACGATTTCAGATCATTGTAAAAAAGATACATGACCAACCCGACCACAACATACAATAATTAGGGAAATACAATTAGGTTCAAAACTGGGGATTAGCGTAGAAAATAGAGTACAAAATAACACGTTTAAATTACAATAGTTTTGGAGCAAAAAGGGCTATGGCAGTGAATCATACATCAAACGAAAGCTTATGATCTGTAGAATAGACTAGGGACAAAAATAAATGTTAATGTTTCACAAGCTTCGAATTAACTGAAAGTAGCTTCAGCAGTTTGTCAAGACTTATTGTCTCTCTGTTCACATCAATAGTTACGCGTCCCGTTTATTTTATTTAACGCTATTAATTTATAATATGTTGCAAAAAATGGCGGAAATTGTTTGTGATCACAACAGTTAAAAGTAGGTATTTCCTTTGTATCGGTAATTTTATCATTGGATTTGTAGACTTTAACAGTTTCAGCTTTACTATTATCTGTAGCATGGAAACCTTTGAGATGGTGCAGATTTGTAGTTCAGGTGGATGATTTTGGAAATGGAAACTTGGCAAAACTGTTAAATGCGAGTGAAAATATTTTAGTGCTGTTAAATAAGTAGGTAGATTAGAGAAGAGTGAGTAGTGGAATGACTTAATTAACCTAATAATTAAGAAACGAACATCTGTGTTTATTTTCTGAGTACGTTTTTGATAAGAAGTATTCTGTTTCTATATTCTCTGAATTTTGGTTAGAGCCGTTATAAAAATACATTGACAACTATTTTCTATTAAACATTATTGGGAATACAATTTTCTTATGTAAAAAATTATTTTACTTTTAGGTGTATGGAAATCAGTTTTTTTTTATGTAGATTAATCAAAACATTTCTGTACGTCTATCAAAGTTTACAATTTAATAATTCTGAAGTATATCGACATTTTGAACAACGAGTCGTGTTTTATATGTCACGATGAATAGACAAGAAGAATATCAAGTATCTTCTCGGAATCACTGACTATTACTAATTGTATGTAGTCTAAAATCAAATACTCACTATATATATATACATTTGGGTCAACGGTTTTTGAAAAACGTCCACTACATTCATTGATGAACTTTAATTGGTTGATAAAGGATGTGTCAGTATATTCACTATTCTCACCTTTAAGCGGTTAATATCTCAAACTTTGGCAAGAAAACATGAGCTACTTACAAATTGCCAGTAGTTCAACTTTCTATTTGAAATTTATTCTATAGATTGGTCTAACAATGGTCGCTTCAAGATTGCGGTGTGATTATCGCTTAATGTTTTTGATTTTAAATCATGAACCTTAAAAAAGGTTATCATTCCCCACTGATAACTGAATATATGAAATATCGCACCGTTTTGTTTATTCATAGAAGGGTTTCATTTTTGAAGTGTCTCGATCATGTAATTCTTAAGAGCGTGTACAATCATTTATTGAGATTGATATACATTCAAGGTAAATTTACATTAACTAGTCTATAAAAAAAACCCAGAACAAATGGTTAATTTTTTCTAAATTATAATGTTTCATCTTTTACCATAATCCCATTACTCACTGAAGTTATGTTTCGAATTAAATTTTTCAGTAAATAGGGATCAGTCAGTTAGTTGGCAAACGATTTTTGGAATGAGTAGCAGTTTCCTGATAAAGAAATTTCTACTTACTATTTGTAGAAGCAAATACTATGAGTCAGTAAATTAAGTTACTTTAATCACATTCAAGGTCTGACTGTTATTATTGAGAGTTAAACAATATGACTTTTAGAACAACATATATAAGCGAACAATATTGTTTTCGATTAGATCCTCATCAGGCTTTACTCTAATATACAGTAATATTTATATGCATATACGAAATTATTAAACCAATCAAGGTAGTTTATAAGTCAATGATAACAATGGAAAAGATTACGTAATAAGTAAAATGTGAAAAGTACAAATTGATGGTGTGACAACAGGTGCATTAGTTTTTGATAAGCAATAATAATAAAGGTTCAAATCAATGTTACATAATCTGAAATAAGTCAATGATTAGAAAAATATAGAAACTGAGATAACAATTATAAAATTATAAGATGACGTAATAAGAAATGTTCAGATAATTGGACCATGAAACGTATAGTTGAGAGAAAATAAAGTGGTAGGAGGGTGTGAAGAAAAATAATAAACGAAGAGAATAAATAAATAAATAAATAAATACATTCATTTATTACTTAAGGCCAAGGGAGAGATAAGGGAGTTACAAATTTCTTCTGGACACAAAGACTTGGTTTGTTGGCTCGGATTCCTATAGCTTCTGCTATGTGTAAGAGACGAGATCGAACACCATAAGGAAAACTAGTGGGAATCCTATAAATAACTTTGAACGACTTGTTTCTGTCCACTATATGACCGCTATCGATCAAGTGTGATAGAACCGAGCTGCGTATTGCTTTGACATAGCCTTTTCCTAACCACGAAGGGAGGTGTTCACTAACTCGTTGGTTCAGTTGCCTGGTAGTGCGCCCGATATAGCTTTCTCCACAGGAGCAGCTGAATTCGTAGATACACATAGAAGTGGCATAACCAGGTAACTTATCCTTCAATTGCGGAATCACCATCGATCGGGTCGAATACGATAGGCAGAGGTTGGCAGCATTAAACGTTCTCTTAACTGATTTAGTCAATCTATCTCGTAATACATCGCTAGCCACATCACCATTGAATTGCAGTTTCAAGAAAAGTGGTTTCTTGTTAGCCGTCAGGGTCACTATTTTCCTGTTTTTTACGCGCAAGTGTTTCTTCAGGAAACCCAGTGGATATCCTAATTCAATCAAAATATTATGAATGTGTTGTAATTCTTTATCGATAGTGTCGACTGAGCATATCTTAAGAGCTCTATTTGCAAGGCATTTGACCAAGTTTCTCTTATAATGAAGAGGCACAAAGCTTAAAAAATGTGTGTATTGGCTAGGCGAAGAACTTTTCCTATACACACTCCTGCTGATAGAACCATCTTCTTTTCTACTTAACAAAACGTCCAGAAAATTTAGTTTGTTATCTATTTCCTCCTCACATGTAAATTTAATAGCAGGATGTTTGTTATTAAATAGCTCCAGTAGTTGTTCTTTTCTAAGGTTTTGATCGGCAATGATGAAGGTGTCATCAACGTAACGACAGTAGAAATCCAGTTTATTGATAACCTCCTTGAGAGGTCCGTTTTCTAGTTTCGCCAGAAAAAAATCCGCAAGGATGGGACCTAGTGGCGAACCCATCGCTATACCATCAATTTGTCTATAATATGTGTTATTAAAGACAAAATGGACATTCATTGTGCATTTTAAAAGTAATTCTTTAAGACTAACCCCAGGAATTCCAATATTGATTTGTTTTTCCTGTAGTTGATGGCACACAAAATCGATAGTCTCTGTTAACGGCACATTGGTGAACAGGGAAGCAACATCTAAAGATATCATTCGTTTCCCATTTAAATTTATATGTTCCACTTTAGATATGAAATCGAAGACGTCTTTCACGCTTCTATTGACGACTAATTTGTGTAAGGGGTTTAGGATACGAACTAGCCACTTTGCAGTTTTATGATAAGGCGAATTATACATATCTAAAACTGGGCGAAGAGGAAGACCTGTCTTGTGAACTTTAGGTAAGCCATATAGTCGCGGTGTGTTCGATCCAGTAGGCTTGAGTGAGTCATGTAAGTCAGGAGTAAGAATACCTTTATTTCTTAATTCCTTCAGTGAGACAGTCAGCAATTTTTCTGCCTTCATATTTAAGTCCTTAACGTCGTTGAGTTTCTGAAATTTTGTCGGATCATTCAAAATCACGTTCATTTTATTAATGTAATCAG